CAAGTAAAAAATTTTAGGGCAAATCCTTGAGTGCAAAATATCCTCTGTTACATGTAGGCTGTAGCCAGATATTGTTTGCATTGAGCAGTATATTCAAACGAGAATTATTTACCGATTTGATTGATATATTACTAACATTTTAGTGCATTCGTGCGTTCATCTCTAGCTTAATCAAAGAGTTGGTTGTTGATCTAAGGTTTGGTTAAACTAAACATGAAAACAATCAAATCATCTGACAGTTTTCTTTTCTTCCTATTCTTTTAGATGCTTTCACAAGAAGATATCTTATTCAAATTCAGAGTGACGGAGAATGCTTATTTACCAGACAACCTACCTGGACAGACAAGAAATCCAATAAATGTCTATCAAGGGGAAACAGCAACTATCAGACTGGAGTGTAGAAAGAATATTAAGTATAAAGATAAACATGATAAACTAATATCCTAATTCATCAATTCCTAACTAATTTCCATAAAAGAAACAAAGCCTACTAAAATAAACAGATCAAAAAGCCAACCCTAATCAATCAATTCTCAAATAGTTTTCATAAAGAAAGCAAAACCCACTGAATGAAAACTAAAAAGAGATTAAAGAAAAGGCAATAAAATGATTACCTGATTGAACACCGCTCTGGGTTACATCTGTAGACTTCAAATCATTGGAAGAACTATTTCCAGCGGTATCACCAGATCCTGCATCTGTGATACCAGACTTAGTTTCCAAACTGGAAATGGATGACTTAGCACTTTCAACCTCCTCAGTGATATTGGAAGAAGCAAAAACACTCTTGGTCTTCTCTTCTTGCGTTAGCATCTGATCTGATTTTTCCTCGGCATCCGAAATAACTGATGAACCACCTGAATTCATGGGCACGTGCAAGTTAGATGGTGTAGAATTCTTCTTTACCACTTCGCCATTCTCGACAACATCAGGAGTAGTAGAATTCTCGGGAAATTCTAATCTAGACCCAGAAGGGGAACTCCTATCAACGATTTCCGCATTGATACGAGGATCCTTATTACTATAATTGACTAGAGGTATTGGGAAATCTAGTTTCTTGGAACTAGCAACGGAAGAACCAATTGGGTTTGAGATAAGAAGCCAGGAAGCTAAAACCAAGAAAACTGCCAGTCCGCCCACAGAAACAACAATAGAGGAGAGTCTTCGCGGAAACGCCGCCATTGCAGGAGAAGAAGCTTTGGGAGAACCCAAAGTCATGGCATCTGATAAAATCTGGTGAATATAGCTTCTGCAACAAGTGACCTTATAGACCTACGCTCTAAATTCGTGGATAAGACGCTCAAAACTGAACCACATCTAAAATTTCACTTGGGGACCAAAATTCAATCGTGGAAAATTCTTACTAACCAAAGCAAACAAATGGATGAAAAGGAGTACATGCAAGCAAAATCTTTCAAAACTTCCACAAAACAATTCGAATTATCTTCGCTGATTCGGGTAAACTAATAACGATTCCGATTTACAAAAAGTCTTTCCTTGGATTCTCTTCAAGGTCTATCGTCGATAGCACTTTTTTGAGGTATTCCTGCAATCTGAATAAGAAACATATCAACACAATCCCTGTAAATAAAGTAACGGAATATAACGAAACGTCACGCGCAAACGACCATAGAAAGAAACAAAAACAAAGGAACGATAATAGACAGGAATGATAAATTCAATAAAGCTCGAGAAAAAAAAGGAAAGAAAGAAGATGAAATCATCACAACAAAAAGCTATGAAAAAGAATTAAACTACTCAAAAATCCGATAACTAAATTAGATTTAATATCCGTATTAACTCTTAATTCTCCATAAATAGCATTATCTGAATTAGAAAGACGATAAAAAAAAAAAAAAAAAAAAACTCAAAAGACCGCCAAACTCACGTATCGCTAAATCTCCCGAACAATTAGAATGCTCATACAAGAAAGAAATATACATAATATTAGGATCTCAATCCAACCTGGACTCGAAGAACAATATCCATTTATCGAAAGAGCGTATGGTATCTTCTTCTTCCTTGTTATTCAAGCGATATTAGCGCGAAAAACAAAACGGAAGACTACAAAAGTGAAGATCTTGGATCAGGAGAAAGGAATTAAATCATTATTGGCGGTCTAGATCCTGAGAAAAAATTATTTTGTGAAAATTCATGAATTTTGCCCGGCTTCGATTCCTGTTCTGCGTGTTTCCTCACTCTCTCCGCCTAGTGTGTATGGAGGAATATGGAGAGAGAGAGTGGTGTGTAAAGCGTGGTAACCCCTAATTACTAAACTGCCCTTGCTTTTTTAGTGCATCTTTTTCGTAAGCCCACTTTTCTGGGTTCGGCCATCGGCCTGTCGCGCGCCTTTCGGTGTTATACTAATAACATCATTAAATTAAGTGATTTATTTGCTAAAATTAAATTACTTCATTAAGCTCCACCTCTTCAGCCTTCAGTGTTCATTGTAATTGTCAAAGAAAGTGATACTATTAGCCATTAATTTTTTTTTTCTGAAAAATAAATTATTTTTAACCCTTCTATAATATTTAATTATATATTCTTTTTAGACGTACTTTTTGTTTTTTTTTAATTATTTTTATAAATATTATTTATACTTAAAAGTTAAAAGGAATATATTAAAAAACTGAATAAAATTTAATATGTTATTCTAAATATGCCATTACAAAATTTATTTTAAAATAATACTGATTTTCTAAAATAAAATAATGTTAACTAATATTAAAAGAGAGTTTGATATGTTAAACTACTACAACCGCAGTTCTCTAAATTTATTATATTTTAATTAAAAAAAAATCTCAATGTTCTACAAAATCTCCTATATTTTCTCTTTAATATGATTTTTAATATGCATTATTTAAAAAAAATTTAATTTTTGTTTTAACAGCGAGACACTATATAATTATACTTATTTTTTAATAAAAATTTAATTCAATACATTATGATTTATATTAAAACACAAATTATAATTTTTTAATAACAAAAATATGATAAATTTACTTTAAAATAAATAAAAATTTAAAAAAAGAATATCAAAAAGTACGTGACAAATTCATACTAAAATAATATTTATCAATTTTTTGAGAGAGTTTGATATGTAAAACTATTTAAAATATAATTATCTTATTTTTTAATTTTAATAAAAATTTCAAAATTTTGTGTATTTCTTTTAATACGAATCATTTTTATATGTTTTATCTTTAAAAAAAAATTATCTTTTTCAATATGTCGTTCCAAATTATTATCTATTTGAGAAAAATGTATACTACAATTTTATCAAAAGTATATAATTTTAAAAATATTTTGTTATTTATTTATTTTTATAATAACAAAATAATAAACAATTAAATAGTTATTATTTATTTAAAAATAATATATTTATTAATTATGTTGTATATATAATTATTCTTCTTATTTAATAAGATAACATAACGAACTATATTTAATAAGTTAATAATATTATTAATTATCATCTTATTTTATATATATTTTTTATTAATTAGTAATGAGAGTGGAATCAAATGCTTGCCTTAGGAAAAAGCAAATTGCAATTCTTAGCGATAGCATGTCCCTTGTGGAACTTTTTCAATAAGATGAGGAAGGAAGGGAACTTTCCAATATCAAGCCAAATTTGAATTAGCCATGGAAATTTGATGTCTATTTCAGACGAGATGTAATGGTCTCGAAAATAACCAAATGAAATAGATAATAACTTAAGTGCGTTAGCGAAATAAAATGGTTAAAATTTACATCACTTACACAATAACTTAAAAGTATTAAACAGCATTATAGAATTTACCATTTTGAAAGAAACATAAGAAATAAAAAAATAAACGGAAAAAATAAAATATATAGCATATACTCATAATCTTCTTGCGGATTTGGCTATAGAACCTGTTATATTGATCTGAAATAATTAAATAAGCAATAAGCTACACTAACCCAGTACGGGTATCACATTATATCACCGACACATAAATAAATATGAGTATAAAAATAAAAACAACTAATTGAGCATTAAATTTAGCAAATTCATTTATCAATTATAAAATTATTTACCGTTCACTTACCGCAGTGGAATTTATGAAAACAACTTATGCATACAATAATATCATACGGATAATAATTTCATGTAGGATCAGTAACATAACACATATCATAAATTTATACACATCGTCAAATAACCAAATAATAACTGTCATATTTTCACTAGCTTACTAGTATCAATATGGATGTTCCCGCTACACATGACCCATTTCATTTAACAATCTCAATTACGGGTCGTCTCCATACCTCGTCCAGTATAAGCATCAAATTATCAAACTTTAATACCCCGTCCAGTATGAGGGTGAAGCGGGCCGTTCCCATACACAGTCCGGCATGAGTGCCGAATTATCAAGTCTCCATACTCTGTCCAATATGAGATAACGTTCACGGTAAGGTTCTTTATGTACCTGGTCCATCAACCATTTCGCAGGATATCTAGTAAAGCTGTCATTCCATATGTTTATTTAATCACACAACTTTTCAATTTTTCTTTAGTCTCTATTTTCAAAATCAATCATGATCACACAAACAAACAAACAAGCATACATAAATGAATGCAATCATATCTCAGTTTTTCAATCAAACAGTAGTCACGTAAGACATCAATTTATGCATTCAAATCATAAGATTAATAAATCAGATACAATCATACTTTTAGACTGTAAAATAAATCAATAAAAATTAACAGAGAGCAATTTTTGGTTCAAGCTCTATTAGCAATCTGTAATTAATTATGCATAAATACCGTATTATTATTTATTTAGACTTCAATTCTATGATAGAGAATAGGGTGAAGGATCCTTACTCGATTTAATATCGGAAAAGTTAAATTGTTCGACTGCGCCTACGGGTAATTTTTGGGTTCTCTAAATTTTTTTTCGGAAATTAAAACGCGCTAATAATACTTATAAATGTCTCAAATAAACTCAAAATCAGTCTCGAGACCCACTTGGCCAATTTCAGAATTCCGGCACGGTGGCTCTGCCGTGCTCCAGCGACAGCGCCGCCACTCGCGGTTGCGGTCTGCTTCGGGTTGGCTGTTTTTGACTGATTTTGCATCAATTTATGAGAGAAAACACTTCAAAGGGTATCGGTTGACCGAATAAACACAAAAAATTAAAATTCACCGGCGGCGGGACTCTCCAATGTGGCGACTCATCCGGTTCACGTTGCAGTTGGGTGTTTTACTCCGGTCAACCTGTAGAGAATGACACGATGATCACAACAGTAGAAAAATTACACAGAATGAGAATCGAAAAAGAGCTCATTGAATGCGTTTTGTGAAATTCTCCGTAGCGGCGTCGCCGGGCTTCGTCAGCGTTTTTTGGCTAATTACCCGGTCTTTTCGCACTGATTTGGACATGAGTGAACTTAAAATTGAATTTCGAGCAAAAAAGAAAGTTTTTACATTTTTTGGCGGTTGGAAAGGGTTCCGGTGTAGCGGGGGGTGGTGGCGACTCCTTCCCGGTGGTCAAGTATTCTTATCCGGTGATGGGTTCTGTCGACTAGGGTTATGGTTTGATGCGGATGTGGGTTATTTATATCCGTCAACTTTTGATTTGGACAGCCCATCGTGTTTGATCTGGACCGTCCATTGCGATCTACTATGGATTGTCTGATCGCGTTTAAATCTAACCATTTGATCGCGTTTGGGGATGGAACGCATTTGGGCAATCCGTGCGCGCGAAAACGGATCTGGGCCATTCGATCGGGGCACGCAGATCGCCCGTGTGGCATCGCATCAGCGTCTGCTACCATGCGGTGCGTCCTGATTCACTGGGCTTGCTAACCGGACGTATGATGTGGCAAAACTTCTAAAAATTATATTTTGTTCTATATTTTCTAATTTTGCTTTCAAAAATATTCCCAAAACTTAAATTTTCATTCATTTTTTTCAAAATTATTTTCAATTTAATTCTCAATCAATTTTACTCTAAATTAAATGAAAAATAAATTATAAAAATTATATTTATAAATTTTAAATTACATACTATTTATTTTGGGATGTTACATGAGAAGTCGATCTTATTGTCGATATTTAATTAAATGATAATATTTTTAATATGAATAGCCAGTTAAAAAAAATTATTTGATTGAAAATAATGAATTATTGATTAACGAATTGAATATTAAAAAAAATTAAAATTAATGATCAAATAATAATGCAACGAAAAATAATTTAATTAAAATATTTGAGCTTTTATAAATAAATAAACAAATAATTTTTGACTAATTATTTAGAATTAATTATAAATAACAAAATCAATAATTAATACACTAAAAAAAAGAAACAGCCATATAATTTTATATTTTATTTTTTTAAAAACTAATTTTTAAGCGACGACAGAAACAAACTTGAGCAACTCCCCCTTCTCCTTTTGTCGTCCCAGGAGTCCAAGACCCAAGCACAGACCTATCCACCCAAGCCAAGTCGATTCCTGCACCAAGAAAGAAGAATAAGCGAGGAAGAGGAAAAAGAACAAGCCACTGTCTCGACATAGCTATCGCAGTCGTAGACAAATTCTAGGTTTTTCTTATTTTTTTTCTTGTTAAATGGCCGCCTACACGCTCCCGTTTCTCCCAATTGCAGCCTCAACTTCTCATTCTGGCCATGCAAAGCGCCGAGAGTCTTTTTTTTCGCTACGGTTAAGCTCTATGTACGGAACCAAGCTTCTGATTCGGGTACCGAACCGGGTCCAATTTGTTCCCAAATATCGTTGCTCGACGACGGCTACCACTACGGTGTCGTTCAGCCTTCCAATTTCGTTAGTTTCTATTCAATTCGGTTAAGTTTGTTCTGTTGCTACTTTAATGCTGGGCTTTTCCCCTAATTGAGAACCACTGCGCATTGGATTGATTTTTGCAGGAAAGAAGTGGGGGCTTCTTCCGATAAATTGCCAAGGTAAGTTCATAATGGTGAAGTATTGCTGAATACACTGTATATGCTAATTTTTGTAGTGATGAGTTGTTATTTACCATAATGGTTGCTTTAGATGGTCAGCGAGGGCTATAAAATCATTTGCTATGGCGGAATTGGAGGCAAGAAAGCTTAAGTATCCGAATACGGGGACTGAAGCACTTCTAATGGGCATTTTAGTTGAAGGTTAGTGTTTGGTAAACCTTTCTTTTTTCTTTTTGCAGAATTTGATAATCGTTTGCGGTTGCAGGTGTACGATGAAATGCTAATTGTTCTGTTTGCCAAAACCCCGAGCGAGAACATGTGTTAGATCAGAAAAACCCTTCTCAAAATTTTACTGTGTTGTAATGGGAAAGTGTTAACTTACTTTGTTTGCCAAAACTTTTGCGGGAAACATGAGTATGAATCAGAAAAACCCTTTACAGAAGTTCATTGTGCTGTGTTGAGGAAGTGTTTCTAATAGATGTGACAAATTTCGGGAGTTGCTCTTAAATCTTGATATCATTACCGTTTGAAGGCGGCGGAGTGCAGGTAGTAGGTAGACAATATTTTATGTCATCCCATCTGTATGGATACGAGAATTTGAGTTTAGGATATTGATTTAACCTCGAAAAATATGCTAATAAGAGGTGATAATATGAGATCAAGCAAAGCTGAAGGAATAACTGAAGGGGCAGCTTGCATGGTTCCAAGTTCTGGTAATGTGTGAAGGAATTATGACTAATTGTAGGATAGAGCCAGCTGCAAAGTTGGTGAATAACAATTTCTCGGCTTTGGTATCACGAGAGCAATTAAATTGGATACTTGTCGAAAAGTTAAGTTTATAGAAAATGGGTTAATTTATTATTTTTACATTTTTTGACAAGGTGAGAGGAAACTCAGTGAAACGGAAGAAGGTTGAGATTTATTAGTTATGTTCTTAGTTGATCTCAAACTCGAGTACCTCAAGTGATCCTTCAATCATATATATACATGTTTAACTTCTGATTTTTTAACTGCACCAAGGTTATTAGACTGATAGGAGTGTTTTTACAGGAATATTTTTTTATCACCTTTTCCTCTTATTTCCCTTGTTGTTGTAGCCTGTACAACATCTTATTTGGCAGAGTTTATTCCCTCCCTTTCTGATAACCATGAACATTTGGTTTCAGATTATCATAATCCTTCCATTGTCCTCTCATTCAATTTCCTCAGTCCCGATTTTTTTTTAATTTTTCTTTCTCTCAACTTCCAAACATAGCGTAGAGGAATTTTTTCTCTCTCAACTTCCAAACATAGTGTAGAGGAATGCATATACGTGCATTGCTCTCAAATGCCTTCATGTGCTTTTTTGATGTTTAAAGCTGTTTTCTGTTTTATTTATTTTTATTTTTGAAAATGTTCTTTTTTCCTATTGGTGTCTTTTTTTCCCCATTTCAGGAACAAGTCCAGCTGCTAAATTTTTGAGGGCTAATGGAGTCACTCTTTTCAAGGTGCGAGAGGAGACAGTAAACCTACTAGGAAAATCTGACATGTATTATTTCAGCCCTGAGCATCCTCCACTTACTGACCAAGCTCAGAGGGTCCTTGACCTGGCTGTCAATGAGAAACTGAAGTCAGGTGGTCTCTGGTTGTAATATAAAAGATCATAGTATTTTTGGCTTTTGTTGCTTTGCCGCATGGAAATTTGTTCTATTTGTTTGTTTATTTATTTTTCTAATTTTGAGCTTTTTAAGGATTTTTTTGGCTTTGCATTTGGCAAACATGAATCCAAGCACACGGTGAAAACCTTCTTTTACAAACCACGAAGCTGCAACATTTTCATTTCTACTTAGTTATAGCATGATGTGTAATTTAATTAAACCTTGGCAGTACCTTGCAAAGCATGGAATTTTATGATGCAAGATTTCTCTGATGACTGATCATAATAGGAATTTTTGGTTGGTTTTGACGAAATATGCATGAAGTAGCTTCTAAACACAATTTTAATCTTTTATGCTGAATTGAATTATAATGTGACATACAAAAAATCAGCAGTTTTCATCTCGCAAAGAAGAGCATAACTTGCAAGTTTTTTCTGTCTTTTGACTACGGGCACTCTAGGGACCTAAGTTTTGTAGAATTGCTTCAGTTTTCTGTTTTTTGACATTTCTAGCATGTAAATTTTTCCTTGTACCTAGAAAAAAATAATTATCAATTGATATGTTTGCTTAGATAATGGATTGAAATGAAGTTTTAGAATTTTTTAGGATGAAAGGGCAAGCTACGTCCTTGTTGTGAGTTGCATAGTTTGAGAGTATCTTTCTAGTGACATTCTTGATCTTTAAGAAGTCATTAAGTGTGTGGAAGTGTAAAGTCTATGTAGTAGGCAATCTAAGATTTGTTGTCAGAGCATGACTTTAGAGATTATGTGCTCAAAACCTCGAAAGCAGTACACTGCACTAAAGATAACATTTCTATGCAATACAATTAATTAAATATCATCAAATTCAATGAGAACTTCGTTTACGGTTAAGCTTGGTTTGTGTTTGGAATGTCTTGAGTCTAAAAGTATGAACAGTAAGTTTTTTTGCATCTTATAGTCTTCCTTTTTATACTTTGTTGTGTATTTTTTTTTAATCAAATATACATTATTGTGTATGTTAGAGTCATTTTAATCTTCAACTGCAAAATGTTTTGTATCTCATTCAAACTGTTATATGAACTACAGGTGAAAGTGGGGAAATAACACCAACAAATATACTTCTTGGGATTTGTTCAGAAAAAGAATCGGCAGGTCACAAGATCTTGGTTGCTTTAGGTTTCAATGAAGAAAAAGCTAATGAACTTGCGAAATCTGTAAGTCTTGAGATATTTGATTATTGGCCATCTGATAACCTTTCAGTATTGAAATTGAGTCTGCTCTTGTTTCTCTCCAGATGAAAGAGGCAAATTCTGATGTTTAACTAGAGATTTCGGTAGTTTATCTGCTATGTGACTTGTCGATTTGGACCACCATCAGTATGGATTTCGGAAGATAATGCTTCCCCCTTCTTGCTAGACCAGGTTACTTGTTAGCGAAGTAGCTAAAAAATATGGGTTCACTGGTTTGGACAGTTGGCAAGCAAATGCATCTTTGAATCAATTGGAAAACACTCAGATCTGCATACTTCCTCGAGTTCAGCATTTCACGAGCGATGACTATTGAATTTCAAGGTGGTAAATTATTGACTTCTTGCTCTTTTGGGAGAGAGAGAAATCAATATCATTATATGATTTGCTTTTATAGCACCATATTGTTTGTGGGATGCGTGATGATTCACATAGAAACGAACCCTTTCCTCAGTTTTATTCTAGTACCAGTATCTTTCTTGGAGTTCATTGGAAAATTTTGATTTTATCAAATTATTTATGTAATACATATTGAAGAATTCTGTAAATTTTTTTTTTCTTTTATCTCAAATATGTTGCTATTTCAAATGTAGTATTTAATTGATGCTTTAATTTTATTTATAATTAAATTGTTATATTTTTTTTTCCCCTCAAACTAAATATAAACATTTTAAAATAAATTTTACAGAATAATTCAATCATTTCAAACGTATTTCACATATCAAGAGAACTGAAAACGTGAAGTTTTTAATTTATACGAAAATATTACAAAATTTGATATTATATAAAAATATTATCTTTGGTATAAGACTTTATAATTATATAAAAATATTACAAAATTAAATAATTTTACAAATTTAAGGGTGAAATCATAATAAAACATTTAGGTGACGTTTAAAATTTTTTTTGGTTTATCAATTAATTATATAAACTGGTGTAGTAGCGATGAACAGTTGAATTGTAAAGCTTAAAGAGGAGAAACAAGAAAATGTGGCAGCGGCAGCTTAAGTGAGATTAAACCAAATTAAAAGGTTAAAGAGGGAGAAAATGAGCGTCCAATTGGATATTTCAAAACTGGCCCCGAACAGCAGCACTGATAAACGAGCGGCAATTGGCACCTCCCGCCAACCCAAGCAAGGGTTTAAGCTCCTCTTTTCTGCACAGTCCCGTAAACCCTATTTTCTCCCCAAATCTTCTTTAGTTCATTCTTCTATCTTCTCCAATCTAAACCCTAAGGTTCCAAATCACGCCCCAGGAAAATGAGTTTCGCAGCCTATAAGATGATGCACTGGCCCACCGGCATCGAGAACTGCGCGTCCGGCTACATTACCCACTGCCGCGCGGACTTCACGCCACAAATCCCGTTAATGCAGACTGACGATCTCGACTCCGAGTGTCATCCAAGCGCGGTATTGTCCCGTTCCTAACCTAGTCGTAACCGCAGCTAACGTCCTCGAAATTTACGTGGTTAGGGTGCAGGAAGAAGGCAGCCGAGACTCCAGGAATCCTGCAGAGATGAAACGCGGTGGGGTGATGGATGGTGTTTCAGGGGCCTCTCTCGAGCTTGTTTGCCACAACAGGCGAGTGCACACAAATACCGAATTCTATCTGTGAAGTTTGCTTGGAGTTCCATTTTCTTTTGGAACATATACGCTTATAGAATTTTTTGAGCAATTCTATGTTTTCAAGTATGACGAACTTGAGAGTTACTAGTAACAAGTGATTCTCCTCGTTGTACCATTTAAGGACCGTTCAGTGTGAATGTCCCTTTTCTGATGTGGTGTTTGAATTTCTTCTTTTGAATTTCATCGCAGATTGCACGGTAACGTTGTGTCAATGGTTGTACTATCTGTAGGAGGTGGTGATGGTTCTAGGAGAAGAGATTCTATTATCTTGGCCTTTCAAGACGCAAAAATTTCTGTCCTGGAGTTCGACGATTCTATTCATGGCCTTCGTACAAGGTAGGACAAGTTTTGCCGGTTGACCCCGTGGACCTAGCTTTGTTGTACTCTTAATTGGTTGGTTGATTTTTATATTTGTGACCAAGTTCTGATAGGATTACTGGAAACATATTTATCAGGAATCTTACATTTTACATTGTTTAGCCTAGGAGCACCCCTTATATGCTGACAGACTTTGTTCCTTCCTCTTAGGTTTTGTGATATGTTGGCACCCGAAGTGGGTGTCTTCTATTAAAAATGTTGCTTTTGTCTGCAGGAGGAATGTAGTCTATCTTGTTTCTCCTTTGATCATAACTGCTCTATTTTCATGCAATTATTATAGATTGTTCATGTCAATTCTTTTGCTCTACAGTGTGTGACGTTTGTGACATGGTTATTAAACTAATGTTAATTCCATGTCATGGTGTTTGATCATATGTATTTTGACTGACTTTTATGGTGCTCTTCAAAATTAATTCAAATAATTTTATGTGCTAATTTTCTGTCCTTGATAAAACATTTATGTTGTAGAGAAGGATGCTTGTGTTAAGGTGAAATTTGTTTTGTTTAGACATTCCTCTTTATCCTGCTATGTTCCACTTGTTGTATTTTCTTTTCCTATATCATGACAAGATTCTTATAAATTTTGTCCCTTTCTCAGCTCTATGCATTGTTTTGAGGGTCCAGAATGGATACATTTGAAAAGAGGCAGAGAATCCTTTGCAAGAGGCCCATTGGTAAAGGTGGATCCACAAGGCAGGTGTGGAGGCGTTCTTGTTTATGATTTGCAAATGATAATACTTAAGGCTGCCCAGGTCTCTTTTACTTCCTAAGTTACTTGTTCGCCACATTTGCTTATTAATCTAAAACTGATTTTCTATTTATATGGAACGCCACGATAATGCTTCAGGAAGAAAGTGCACTCATTTTTCGGCAGAGTAGAAGCTTTTTCTTTCAGATTTTTCCTCAGACATCCTTGACATTCCTCTTTGCTCTTGTTTATCAGGCTGGTTCTGGTTTGGTTGGAGATGACGATCCTTTTGGTTCTGGAGGAGCAATTTCTGCTCGTATTGAGTCATCTTACATAATCAATTTACGGGATTTGGAAATGAAGCATGTAAAGGATTTCATATTTGTGCATGGTGAGTGTTTTTTACCATCATATGTTGGATTTATAATTATTCATTCATATGCCACCAATCCAAACTTTTAGCAATTGTTCTAACTATTTGTACTCATGAGTACGTAAAAATTAATAGCATCATTGGATGTG